AAATTGTTACAGCACTGTATCAATGTCTACTGGCAATGCTTGTATATCACATTAATAGCACTATCCTCATTGAGCCTTTGTTACCTCTTCAAAAACTCCAAGTTTAGAAATCGCTGCTGACTATAATCACCCTCCTTTTCCCTCTTGATTACTAATTCTAGAAACAAATATTTGGGATAAAACATGAAACTGACTGGTCTGTAATTACTGAAATTATCCATACAACCTCTATTGAGCAAGGTAGTAAAAGTCTGCAATTCTGGCACCTGCAAGTCCAGGGAAGACTGAAAAATTATAGACAAGATGAGAGTCCAAGGTGTTGGGGTTGTATATTGGCATGGACAGAGAATTGGCTAATGGGCACAAAACAGTAAATTGGGAATAAAAAGTTCTTTTTCAGGTTGGTGACCTGTAACTGGTGGGGTTCCACAGGCATTGGTGGTGGGATTGCAACAGATTATAATATCTAATGACTGAAGGAGGAAGATATAGCCAAATTTGCGCATTAAAAATAGGTGGCAAGCACGCTGAGGGAGTGTAATGAGGGAAAACATGAAGTTGTTCATTTTAGAAAGGAGAACAAAAGAACAATGTTATTTAAAAATTAGGAGAAAAACTGCAGAAATCTGCAACACAAAAGGGACTTGGAGGTGAAACAAAATCTAACACATGTTCAGTAGGTAATTATTAGCAAGGCTCATGGAATGTTGGCCCTTAATTCAAAGGGGGTTGGAGTACAAGAGTAAGGAGGTCTTACTGCAACCGTACAAGGTACTGGTGAGACCACATCTGGAGTATTTTGAGCAGTTTTGGTTCCCTTGAAGATACTTCATGGGAGACAGTTCAGGAAGGGTTCACTAGGATGATCCCTGGTATAGAGGGATTGTCTATGAGTAAAGGCTTAACAGGTTAGGAGTGTACTGACTGGAGTTTAGAAGAATGAGAGGTGATCTCATTGTAACATGTAGGATTCTTGAGGGGCTTGACAGGGTAAATACTGAGATGTTTCCCCTCATGGAAGCATCTGTGACCAGAAGACATAGTTTGAGAATTAAGGGGCACCAATTTAAGAATGAGATGAGGAGAAATTTCCTGAAGGTTGAATGTCTCTGGAACTCATTCTCAGAGAGCTGTTGGGTGTGGGGTATGGGGTAGAGTTCTTGTGTATGTTTAAAGGCTGAGACAGATTCTTAATCAGTAGGGAAAAATCAAGGATTACAGCAGCTTTAGCCTCATCAATACCAAGTCACCCCTTCAAAAATAAACTTCAAGTTAGACACTATTTTCCCCTCAAATCTATGCTGACTCTTCTGCATCAATTCACATCTTTCATGTGACTATTAATTCTATCCCAAATAGATGTTTCTAGAAGATGCCCCAAAAAGTTAAACTGGCTGGTTTATAATTAGAGAGTTTACAAATTTTTGAGCATGGGCACACAATGTTTGCAATTCCCCAATCCTCTGGCACCACTTGGAATCCAGGGAACTCTGAAAGATCATTGCTAGTACTTTCACAATTTCATCGGGTTCCTTCAATATGATCGGAGACATTTCATCCAGTTCCAATGCCTCATCAACATTATGTGCCAATAGCTTATCCAATGCCCTCTCATCAATTTTAAATCACCCTCTGTGATATCCAAAACAGAAAGCCATTCAGTGAGTGGGCCCTTTGAAAGGATTCCTGCACTGCCTGCAGTCACCCCTTCCTTGTCCACATGCTTTCCTCTAACTTGCTTTTGTGATCACCTTTATGAATGTGCTATCCCCTAGTTCTCTGCATCACTGATGCACCTCTGACTCCAATTGTTGGTACCTGGGCTCAAGCTTGTGCAGTCCAGGTCACTACTTGAATTGAGGCTCGTCTGGGTCACAAGTAGCATTCATGATTCCCCATGTGATAAGGTTGACGTTTGGCTTGGTTGAGCTGTCTGCCAATCCTTAATATTTAAATATTTAAGTTACTTCCACCTTGGTCTGGTACTATTAATGATAAACTGAGAAAGTAGTAATTCTTGGCACTTCTATCACCTCCTCATCCTGTGCCAATAAATTCTTAAAATTTCTAAACAAGCACAGAGGAAGTATGTTTCATTTCCAGTAATTTTGGGAAAAAAAAAAACACAGCCTTCAACAGTAGCTACTAAACAAAATCAATTCACTCAACTCTGGGGTGATGTCACTCACATTTTTCAAACTCAGCCAAGTTCTCAAGAAAGGGTACTCCCTCAGTTTGAACTCTTCACCCCAGAGGCAAGTGAAAAACTCTGTCGATCTGAAACGTGCTTCAAGGATCTAACTCACCCCAGGAAGCCAGGTCAAGGATGATTTGCTATGATCTTCCATCATCAATTTGAGAAAGGTGCAAGGGCATTCGTCAACTACTGGTCAATTTACTCAACTGAGTAGGTTTAAAAAATGATCATAGAATAGAATTTTACAGTGTGGAAACAGGCCATACGGCCCAACAGATCCACACTGCCCCTCCAAAGAGCATCCCACCCCGACTTATTCCCCTACCCCTGCATTTCCCCATGTCTAACCCACCTAAACATCCCTGGACACTACAGGCAATTTAGCATGGCCAATCCACCTAACCTGCACATAGGGGAGGCGATGGCCTAGTGGTATTATCGCTGGCCTGTTAATCCAGAGACTTTGCTAACATTCTGGGGACCTGGGTTTGAATCCCGTCATGGCGGATGGTGGAATTTGAATTCAGTAAATATCTGGAATTAACAAGCTAATGATGACCGTGAATCCATTGTTGATTGCTGGGAAAAACCCATCTGGTTCACTAATGTCCTTTAGGGAAGCTCCTATGATGCTGCTTGGCCTGCTGTGTTCATCCAGCCCTGCACCTTGTTGCCTCGGAAACTACCATCCTTACCTGGTCTGGCTTACATGTGACTCCAGACCCACAATAATGTGGTTGACTCTTAACTGCCCTTTGGGCAATTAGGGATGAGCAATAAATGCTGCCTAGCCAGCGATGTCCTCATCCCGTAAAATGAATTTTAAAAAAATCTTTGGGCTGTGGGAGGAAACCAGTGCATCCGGAGGAAACCCATGCAGACACAGGGAGAATGTGCAAACTCCACACAGACAGTCGCCTGAGGGTGGAATCGAACCGGTGTCCTTGGCACCGTGAGGCAGCAGTGCTAACCACTGAGCTGCCATTTAACTGAAACTTGGAAAGAGTTGAGATGGCAGAGTAACAGATTTATTTTTAAAGCAGTTGTTACTTGATCATTCTAATCAATTTTTTTGATTAACTACTAACTAGAAGGTGGAAGAAGTTTCAGTGGATGTTGGGTATTTGGATTTCTAGAAAGTGTTTGACAAAGTACCAAATAAAAGGATAGTTAATAAACTTAAGATGTATATAATACCTTCAGCTGGGATCATTACATAACATAAGAGTGATCAGTACACATTTTACTTCAGCTCTCATACTGGCAAGACTACAAACTCTTCAGCAACTAGTACTGTCCCACAATCAGTTAAGACAATTGTTGTGGTTACAACCACCTGTTACACCAAACACTGCACCCAAAACCAGCTTCAAAAAAAAAACATGTGTACGTACAAATGTGCACATACAGTGAAAAGAAATAGTAGCAGGAAAAAAAGGCTGTTGCCCAGTTTTCATTTGCAACCTTTTCCCATTTACAAGTAGGAGCTCTGAGAATAGCCAGTTCAAATTGCAAGTATTAAAATGCATAGAATAATCTCCTTGACATAATTCGCAGTACACTGTTTGGTCATTAGGATTCTTGAAAAAGAACATAGATGTAGTGATTGAATTCAATCTCCATTTAACTTGTAAATACTCAGCAGTACAATTGCATGTTTTCACCTTTCAAAAGCAAGAATCTGGAATTTTGAGCTGTATAGTACTTTACCAAAGCATTGAAGACTTTAGCTTTCAATAGTATAGGGTAGTGGTTCCCAAATGGTCCACAGGCTGATCCAAAATGCAAGTCACTACCAAAGAAGGATACAGGCCAGAGCCCTCACTCCACCATTCATAGGTCATCAGTCCACTATTCTAGGTCCTACATAAGCAACACTGTTATTTTGTCAAATTTATGTTATTGTTACAACATACAACTTAGGCCAATTTTTCAATACTTGTGGGGTTGAAGACAAAAGATTAGGCATTGGCTAAACAAGGAGCAAAAAACAAGACTAAAAACTTGAGCAGATCATTAACAAATTGGTGTTTCAAAAATAAAAGCAGCAGCCTTCCCATTAATTTTGTTTAGCATATTTTGCAGTGACAACCAAGAGAGGGCTGGGCAGGACTGGGTGGTAGTGACCTATTGAGTTCTTGCCCTATTTGAATGGTTCCTTTATTACAAGTCTTTGAGAACCACGAGTATTGGGGTAGGAGAAAGTTCAATTTGAGGGAATGAATCAAGCGAAACAGAAATGATGACAGTCACATGTTTGACCATTTGGGCTGAAAAGTAATTTAATTTATAATTGTGTAATGCAACTGCATCATTTTAAATAGGTGCATACTTCTCTGCTTCGATGTGCTCTTGTTCCCTCTTTCTTTCCCACTGCCTGTCTGCAGTCAGTTGCAGCTCGTGCAGTCTGTCCAACTCTAGCTCAGTTTGTCGCTGGTCTTTAAGCTTTCTGGCATCTGCCATTTTATGTTGCCTTTCCAGTTCTTCCTCCTGTTGCAGCAGCTCTTGGCGTTCCCCTTCCTGCAGGAGTAAACACTAATTGTTCTCACCTTCAGAATTTAAGAGAAGCAGCTCACATTGGATATCAACAACTTGCGTTGCTGCCAAAGTTTTTAATTCATAGAAATGTATAACGTGTTAAAATATGCCATTTATTTTACAGGTCTTTTAAAAAAGCTACTGAAAAAAACAGTTGAAGGTTCTAAATTGTGTCAAAAATCAGAGCAGATAGTAAAGAATCTATAGTGCTAACTTACTTGTTGCTCAGGAGTTCCTGGATTGGACTCGCTAATAAACGAATGGATACATTACACACTAGCTAACTACCCGTACTGGGGGAATATTTCTTAATGGATATCAAGAAAAACAGAACTATCTTCTGATAGTATACATCCAGAACGTGGATGCAGTCACTTGCTGTAATAGAATAGTTGAAAAATATATTTTAAAAAATACGCTCAAGAGTGTGGAGCTAATTTAGGAGGTGAACCAAATTTTTAAAAGGGAAAGGTGCATTAATTCATTCTGGTATGCCACTATGATCAAAGTTTAAGAAAAAAAAGAAGAGTTGTTAGGGTGAGAAACAAAGTACACTCAGCTTCCACCAAACCATATCCTAATACCACATAAATCACTTACATTGAGAATGGCAGAAGTGAGTAAAACACAAAATACTCAGTAAAATATTTCAAATAGTCTGGTCCAAAACAATTCTTTTCGTAAAATTTACTCATGGGATAAGGGTGTTGCTGGATCATCAACATTTATTGCCCATCCCTAGTTCCTTGGATAAGATGGAGGTGAACTACCTTCTTGAACCTCTGCAGTCCATTTGGTGTGTCAGTAGATGTTCAAAGCTGTTAGGAAGGGAAAGGAGTTCCAGGATTTCAACTCAATGATGCTGAAGGAACAGCAATAATCTTTCCAAGTCAGGATGATAAATAGCTTGGAGAGTAATTTGCATTGCGTTCCCATTTATTTACTGCCCTTGCCTTTCGAGGTGATAGGTAGTTTGGAAGGGGCTGTTCAAGGAACTATGGTGAATTTCTGTAAGAGTACTTGAAGAAGGTATACACTGCTGCTACAAACTGTTAGTGGTGTAGGGAGTGAATATGGTGCCAATCAAGCAGGCTGCTTTATCCTAGATGGTGTCAAGTTACCACAGCATTGTTGGAACTGCACTCATCCAAGCAAGTAGGGAGTATTCCATCATACTGCCAACTTGTCATGTTACAAGGCTATAGTGAGGAGGCTAGTAACTTACAGCATACTCTAGCTGGTCTTGTTGCTGCAGTATTTACATGGATAGTCCAGTTCAGTTTCTGGTCAATGGTAATCCCAAGATGTTGACAGTGGGCGATTCAGTGATGGTAATGCCATTGAATGTTAAGGGGCCATGGTTAGATTCTCACGTTGAAGATGGTCATTACCCAATTATTAGTGGCACAATTGCTACTTGCCACTTGTCAGTCCAAACCTGGATGTTGTTGCATTTAGACATGGACTGCTTGAGTATTTGAGGAGTGGTGAATGGTGCTGAACATTTCGCAATCAATCAGCAAACATCCCACTTCTGACTTTAATAGTGGACAGATTGTCATTGATGAAGTGGGTGAGAATGGTCAGGCGTATGACACTGTACTGCACTGCAGAAAATGTCCTGGAGCGACCTGGCTGATCCCAACAGCAAAAGTCATCTTCCTTTGTAGCAGGTAAGACAAACCAGGAGAGACACCCCACCACGTCCCCACCCCACTCCACCTTCCAAATTCCCCAGGCTCAGCTGTGATCCTGTCATAGAAATCAGTCTACTGAGTCTTCCACTCTTCAACACTGTGGACATGGTACACAACAGGAATCATCACCTCAAGTGGAGGGAAAGAGAAGTAACAGTGAGTAAACATGTACTTCACTGGAACAGTAACTATACCTGCTGAAGTCTGTGTTTTCCGGCTTCTTCTTCTTGTGTCTTTCGGGTTTCTGCTTCCTCCATCCTCTTAGCAGCTACTTTCCTTTTGGCTTTTTCTTCAGCAAGTCGTTTCTCACGCATCTGTAAAGAAAAAAAAAAAGAAAAAAGGATGTGGGAATGCTACATTGATCTCCAAGTGGAGTTCTTTTTCAGGATGGAGGGGGTGAGAGAGCAGAGAACACTCTCTGCCCACTCCATTGTTCGATACCTGGGTTGCCCATGAGAAAGCCACGTTTAGGCAACAGAATGTTATACCTTTTCATTCTTCTCATCAATCGGAGAACTTTTTTGCTCAATTTTTCTCTTTTTTTCCTCCTCTTGTTTTGGAAACTCGTTCCCGAGTAGAGCAACATATCTCAACCGCAGGTTCCGCTTTCTGTACAAAGATAAAACAAACAATTCTATACAGAAGCATTTATAGAAAAATGCTAGAACCTATATTGTATAGTGTCCACATTGCTTTTTCACAAACCCGTACGTGTTCATGATTTTTGGTTACATCTAAAATTTCCCATTCAATTTTATTGCATCAACTAAAATGCAGTTGAAGGGTACAACCATTTAGAAAATTTTCTACAGTGGAATCTAGATTCAAAACATTTTGCAATCAGAGAAAAGACTTAGTTTTATTTTACAACTTTGGTTCTCATTTCTAGGAGCTTTTTGACAGCTGTGTCCTACAAGAACTACTGTCAGAATGGAAGCACATTTTGACAGGAGCCATAAGTGGAATCCCCCATCAGAAATGCAGAGCCCCCTTCTTTTGTTAAAAATGGGAAGGAGTGACAATCTGCAGGGGATTGTTACCCCCTGAGAATGTGGCCCCACATTTCTTCAATTATCTAGGTACATTATACTGCTCTCACTTTGAAAAATTTAATTTTTTGGACCGAGTATCTCATTATCCCTACATTAGAGTCCACCCTTGCTGATTCTCAGAAATTATCTAGGAAACCTTAATTTGTTCATCCACTATTTAAAGCATCATGTATACTGTTTTATTTTATAAAAGTAACACTAAATCTGAGAACAAGCAAGCAGGAAGCACATACTATTGGCATGGAACAAGTTAACAATAGTTTTGTCTTAAACTGTCCTATACTTTCCTTCATCGCCATGGAATTCTCTGCAAAACACTTTGTATTCGTTCCTAGCACATTTTGTTAACTGGGTTTCATGCCAGCATGTGAAAAAGAATTCAATTAAATGTGGTGCAGGATTTGAAAGTAGCAATAAATAATTAAGATCAAAAGTTTGGGCATTCACAAATTCAAGATATAGTCAATCAGGTCAATGACATTTCTGGCAAACTCAAGAGAAACAGGATCCAAAGAGATTTCTGGATCCTGATATGACTAATAGCAGTGTTTAAGATTTTCAGAAGTAAATGTTCAGTTCCTGCTTTGCACCTAATATTTGATGACCTTACGCAATTGTTCATCACACTCCAGTGTACTTCATGCACAACAAATGACTTGGAAATGGTTCTAGTAATGGAGGAGGATCTTTTTGTAGTGTTTATTGGCCAGGATGAAAAACACTTCTTCAAATTGCACAGTGGGCTCTAGAGCTTTTCAGTATCAAACTTTGTAGAAACTCAAAGATTTAGTCATATCTGGAGCCAGGGCTAGTATCCAGTATCACTTTCATTAAAAAATATAAATAGCAATTTAACCAATAACAAGCAAATATTTTCAGATATTGCAACTAACTTCAGTTTGGAATACTACGTATTAAAATGAACATTTCAGTACTTTTTAAGCCCTTCCAATTGATATTTCTTCTCTTCCTCTACTCTCTGTATTCTTTCTTCTTGTTCTTGCTTCTTCAGGCGGATCTTCTCCTTTTCCTAAAATATAGGAGGGGCAATTACAAGGCAGCTGTTCAACAGGGTTTTTTTCCAAAAAATACCTTTTTATAAACAAGAAACTGTGACAGTTGGATCACAACCCCATTGTCCTCAGATTTATACTAAATATCAAATGCTGTTAGAATCTACTTCCTCATTATTGCCCCCTCCAAGTTATTTGAGTAACCAGAAACTCTCAGCACAAAGATACCTCCAGTGGTGAACCTCCAAGACCAAGAAAGTGAAATAACAAAATTTGCAGTGAGAGTACCAGATTAACACCATTGGAAATTGGGGTCCCCTTTTAAATGGGATCTTAATGTTCCATCTTTCGTAGTTCCCACGCAGCATGTAGCATCATTTAATTGTTGTACAATAATAACTAGCCTTTTACAAAAAAAAATCTCTATGAAATCAATAAGATTAGAAGAATCAGAGGGCACAACGCTCCATTGAACTAACCTCAAATGATTTTTAGGGCACTATATGTAGCCTCCTACCAAATACGGAGGTTAGGAAAAATAAGCTGTAGAAAGAATGTAAACTAACGTGCAAATGAAAACCATTATCCTGATGCAAAATGGTCAACTTTCTAAGTAATTGTGATCATAAACCCAAAGTCTGACAACAGCAAGGATCATTTGCTCCAAACCTGTACATAAAAATCTTTGGATTTCAAAGCTTGTTAATACTTACACAAACTGGGGAAATTAAAGAGCTATTACGCATTTAATCATTACAATAAGTTACACACAAGGCTGAACTAAAAGCAATTTGCAAATAGGAGGAAGGTGAGGCAGCCAGCTGAGGAATAAGTTCTTCAAAAAGATCTCCTTGCATACAAAGATATAAAAAACACCTTTAAAGATGAAGGCAGCATAGATACCTTGGGATCACCTTTCAATGGTGTATTGCGTTTAATGAAGGACTTCACTATTGAGCGACCAACAGATATGGGAGTCACCAGCAACCGATTTTTCTGATCAGTGTGGACGAAGCTGGCGTGTTTCGGTCGAACCACCTACAAAAGCAAAAATCATTCAGGTAATCTCAAACGTATGCTGGATTGAGAGAACGGGAGCAGAAATATTTGTTTTGTAAATAACTGATTGCAGCTTCAAAACTTGGAGAAAAAAGTTGCAACAAAAAAAATTTCTTAATGCACAAAAATTGCAATCTTATTCCTACACCAAGGGATAAACAGCATCAGAAGCAGTGTCAATCCTTGTAGGCTTCTTTCCAAGCACAAAAAAAAGTTTCATGTGAACATACATTCAACATGAATTGTATAATAATGCGCAAGGCATTCTCTCCACACTGCTAACCCTCTGAACCAACAATGTTGGTGTTTTGTGGTGTTCCTTAAAAACTTATGATGTAACATATTGGTCTATTTGTGTATCAATGTTGAAGGAAAACCAAAAAAAAAACACAAACAACTACGCAAAAACTATAAGCCTGTTTTTTCTTTTTTTAAAAAAAAGCCAAAATCCAATTATAAGTGAAAGAAGAGATGCTACAAAATTGAATACTTCGTTGTGTGCCTCAAAGATATGACAATAGAATTAAAAAGATTGCTCAGAAAGAGCAATTAGTCAATATGCCAACTATAGACAAAATACTGAGAAAATGGTGGGGGGAAAAAAAATATTGGGACTTGGCAGTATGCTTCCTAAAATGCTGAAATGAAAATAATAAATAGCAGAGGCTTGACAACAAGCATGGAACAACCTTTGAAGGGAAAAAAAGTTAAATCAGTTAACTATTTGTTAATTAGGCCAATATTGGGGGACCTTTCATCATTTCGAAGCTCAAAAAGACTATTGAATTTTGGAAAAAACACAACTTTAGGGAGAACAGCAAAGTCATGGATAGGTTCAGAGGAAGCTTACCAGTATAACTACTAGGGATAGAAAGACTTCTGGTAAAAATAAGATTGGGATTAAAACAAAGATCTTTGGAGGACTGAGAAAGAAAAAAAAGTCCAGCGCTCAAATACAAATAGGTAATTAAGAAAATGTCTATCAAAATAGTACTGAAAGTACTGATGTATTTCAAAACTTAAAGAACAGTGAACAGAATTATTTTGTTCTGCTACAGAACTAGCATAGATCAAGGATATCAAGTGATCTTGATCTGTCCTCTAAACTTTAAATGAGGTGAAAGATTAGATAGGAGCAAAAGGCCATTAAACAGGTGTCACAAGGCTGAAAAAGTGAACAAAATCAAGAGAGTGTGCCACTGATTTCCACTAAGAGGATAGGGAGGCTGAACAAGTATTCTTTTAAAATTAATTAGTGCAGATATTATGGAAAGTTTTGCCTTCAAAACTAACCTTACTTGTAGGACAAGGTGAGGAAGGGCTCTTTCTTGGCAGAGAATCATCACAATTCAAAACTCCACAGCGATTATATGTATTCTCAATACCTTGCTTGCAACTATTTTTGGATCTGAGAAAGAGCAAATAAAAAAATGCCAATAATGTTCCAAACTGGATGACCAAAACAGCATAATCCAAGTCAACATAATCTTACATTTTTGCAACACTATTTCATGAATACTGGTTACAATCTTTTCGATTATCCATTCACACAACTAGAATCCTTACTTTTCTCAAGAACCTTTTCATTTGAGGATACTAAACAGTTGGCACCTGTTCATTCACAAAACAGAAACCAAATTATATGCTCAAGACTGCTTAAATTTTATTCAGATGATATAGGAAAGGAATATTAAACAATATTAAAGAATTCTTATGGCAATTGCTTGAGAGATTATCTCCACCTTTAATTCTGAGATGTGGGCATAGCTGGCTGGCTAGCAAGCAAGCAAGCATTTACTGCCTATCCCCACTTGCTCTCGAGAAGGCGGTGATGGTGAGTTTACATCAATGTACTTCCTAGCACAAAGAGGTGGGAAAAAAGGCCTTAAACCTAGCCACCGTTATGTGCAGAACTGCAAGGAGGGTGGCATTTCATGCCATGTGTTTCAAAATTCAGTTCAACAAAACTACACCTTCCTGTATCCCAGACCAAGAATCAGAATTTCTGTTTCCACCACCCCCCAAAAAGTTGTACAGGTGACTTCAATTTATTTATTCGTTCACAGGTTAGGGATATCACAAGCTAAGCCAACATTTCCCATCCAAGTACCTGATGGGATTGACAAAATCCCTTACTATTCATATACCCACCCAGGTGCCGTTTAAAATGTTGAAACTGTACCCTCCTCTACCACTTCCTCTGGCAACTCATTCTACACATGCACCACCTTCTGTGTGAAAAAGTTAGATTTCACATCCTTTTTAAAATCTTTCTCTTCTCATCTTACTATACCTTCTAGATTTGGACTCCCCCCACCCTAGGAAAAAGACCCTGGCTATTCACCTTATCCATGCTGCTCATGATTTTATAAACCTCTATAAAGGCACCTGTACCAAAGCAGGACAGACAACGATGATTGATAAGGCAGGATGATGGACATTGCGTAGATGGACTTTAGCAAGGCATTTTACAAGGTCCCTCATGGCAGGCTGATATAAAAATGGTGAAGTCACAAGGGATCCACAGAAAGCTATTAAGATGGATGCAGAACTGGCTTGGTCAGAGAAGACTACAGCAACAGAAGGGCGTTTTTCTTGATTGGAGAACTATGACCAGTGGTACCAGGCAAGAATCAGTGCTAAAGACCTGTTGTTTGTAATATGTACAAATGACTTGGAGGAGAAAATTGTGGTGGTCTGATTAGTATGTTCGTGGATGACAAAGACTGGGGAGCTGGGGATGACCCAAGGATACAGCAGATATAGATAGGCTGGAGATTCGGGTGGAGAAGTGGCAGATGGAATTTAAGCTGGAAAAACAGTGATGCATTTTGGAACATCTCGTGCAAGAGGGAAGTATACAGTAAATGGTACAACCTTGGTGCATTAATATTCAGAAGGATTTCAGTGTGCAGATCCATAGTTCCTGGTAAGTGAACACGATGGTCAAGGCAGCATACGGCATGCTTGCCCTCAGTCAGGGCATAGAGTATAAAATTCAGCCAGTCATGTTGCAGCTATACAGAACATTAGATAGACCACATTTAGAATATTGCATATGGTTTTAGTCACCACACTACCAAAAGGATGGGGGTAGGATTTGGACACAGTACAGAAACAGTTTACCAGCATGTTGCCTGGTTTGGAGGGTATTAGAGGATTGGACAAACTTGGTTTGTTTTCACTTAAATATTGAAGGTTGAGAGGTGACCTGTTAGAAGTTTGCAAACTTCGAGAGGCACAGATAGATTGGATAGTTGGAGCTCCTCTCCACATCTCCCACCCCATCCCACCCTAGGGTAGAAATGTCAAATAGGGGATATGGGGGAAAACTGTTTAAAAGGAGATGTAAGAGGCAAGTTTTTTTGCTGACACAGAGGGTGTTGAATGCCCAGAATGCAGTCAAGGTGGCAGAAGCAGATACGATAACAATGCTTAAAAGGCATCTTGATAGATACATGAAAAGGCAGGAAGTAGTGGGATATGGACCACAGAGGCAAAAGGTTTTTACATTCAGAAAAAAGTGTCACGTTGGCATAGACTTGATGGGCTGACGGGCCTGCTCCTGTGCTGTACTGTTCTTTGTTCAATGAAGGAAATGTGATACAATATACGTGCATGGTGGTGTGCCATTTAGAGAGAAACTTGCGTCTAATCTCATTGTTCCTATACATGCACACTTTTCAGCTGATCACTAGTTTGGAAAATCCTTCTGAAGCACCTGGATATGATTCTCTAGTGCATCTGGAGGATGGTACATACATTTACAATTGTGTGTCAGTGATAGACAAAGTAAACGTTGAAGGTGGTGGATTGGGTGCCAATCAAGTGGTTTGCTGCACATTGACCCAAGCTGCTTCAGCAAATATGCAATCATGGGTGAACATATACCCAGTTCTGATCTTAAATTATTAGGATAAGGAATAAGACAAATGACCTATGAAGATGGTTGGGCCAAGGACACTACCTGGAGAAACTTGGGGCCTCAGAGTCAGGAGGACCAGGTTCCAATCCATTTGTTCTAGGGGAATGTAATAACATCTGTGAACAGTTTGATTAGAGGAACTCCCACAGTGATGCCCTGGATCAAAGTTGACTGAACGCTGACAACATCAACCATCTTCCATTAATTGACGTCCTACCTAGCACAATGTAAAGAACTTCTGCCATTTCCCTTTTACTTCAGTTTTGCTAGGACTTTTAGAATAGAATCCCTACAGTGTGAAAACAGGCTATTCAGTCCATTGAGTCCACACTGACCCTCCAAAGAGCAACACACGCGCACACCTGCATTTCCCATGGCTTTGTGCATCCCTGGAGACTATGTGCAATTTAGCATGCCCATTCCACCTAGCCTGCACATCTTTGGACTGTGGGAGGAAACCAGAACATAAGGAGAACGTGCAAACTCCACACAGACAGTCACCAAGGGTGGAACTAACCTGGGTCCCTGGCACTGAGGCAGCAGTGCTAACTACTGAGCCACCATGTTGTGCATCCCCTCCCACCCCACCCCTTTGGATGCCACAAGTGCTCTGAAAATTCAGCTATTTAGTCCATGTTTGGACTAAGGTTATATTAAGGTCAGGAGTCAAATTCTAATAGAGCAGTGAGCAGGTTATTGCTAAGTGCTGCTTGGTAGCTCTGTTAACTCTTTCAGTCATTTTGCTGACAGGTGCAGTCTGTCAGGGCAATGATTTGCCAGAATGGGTTTATCCTACTTCATGAATGGATCATACCTAGGCAAATTTTCCATGTTGTTGTAGCAGTACTGGAACAGCTTGGCTAGGAACATGACAAATTTTGAAGCTTATCTGCATTATTACTGCTGGAATGCTATCAAAATCAATAGCCTTTGCAGTACCCAGTGCCTTCAACTGATGCATTATATCACATAGTTGCACTGAACTAGCTGAAGACTCATCCAAGATGCTGGGGTCAGTATTAAAATCAGCACAATTTTTACTTACCTTGACTCAAGAAAACAGACAAGTGTTGAGTACTCCCAGAGGCACCCTCTCCCAAACAAATAAGAATTCTCTCAATGCCATCATCATCTTTGGGGAGATCACAGTGTGGAGCTGGAGGGACACAACAGGCCAGGCAGCATCAGAGGAGTAGAAAAGCTGATGTTTCGGGTCCGGACCCTTCTTCAGATTTCTGAAGTAGGGTCTGGACCCGAAACGTCAGCTTTTCTACTCCTCTGATGCTGCCTGGCCTGCTGTGTTCCTCCAGCTCCACACTGTGATCTCAGACTCCAGCATCAGCAGTTCTTATTATCTCCGATCATCTTTGCGGGGTCTGTTTTGTTGATGGAACAGGACATACCCAGGAATGATGGCATTGTATCTGGGACAGTCATAGTCACTGAATCAGAACTTTGATTGTCAGGGTGTTGCTCAAAAATATTTGCAACTATAGCCTCCACTTTTAGTGAATATAGATCTGCAGACCATTTAACTCTGACTACAGCAGAATCTTTCTTAGACCACTCCCTCTTCACACCAAAATGTGAAACATGCAAAAGGACTTTTGTATTTTGGTATTCAGAACTATAAATGCAAGTTATTGGAATGTTTGTCATATGACCAGAACTACATTTAATGTCAGGACATTAAGCTTTCCATGCAGGTGAGACCAAACATACAATTATCTTCACAAACTCACCTAAGCCTCCGATTGTCAGAATTCAGTTCATCAGAATTGCTGCTATCTATGGAGTTACAAAACACAAATAACGATCATACCAAGAAACAGGCAAGGTGATCTATATTGACTGCAACTGTCAGACAGTTTCAAAGCTACTATTCAATCTAAATCATAATAACTTTCATCCCAATGCTCTCTCAACTCAAATTTAGTATCAACCAGGTGTAGATGTAGAAGCTCCCCCAAGCACCAAAAGGATCAGCCGGTCCTATGAATTCCTACACCAATATATCAGACTCCTCAGTCCAGAGAGAGAGTACTATAAGTAAGTTATTTACAGTTTAGACACTAAAATGATACCAAGGCCGTGGGCCTGCACTATAAGAGACTGACACTGCTTTTTTCTGCTCTGCTCTCTGACAGCTGAGAAAAGAACAAGATATTCAGAATTAGAAAGTTTTGATAAAGTAGGGAAAACTACTTAAAATCAAGCAAGTGCTTCAATAGCTGGAGAGATTTAAAAGTAATTGTCAGAAGTAAAAATAGTCCCATCAGACCATAGGGTGGCTCTCTCATTAGACAGGAGGTATGTAGTAGTGATTTAGCCCAAGGGTCACCGTGCCTCAGGCATAAGGAGAGGTGGAGAGGGAGAGTTCTTCATGGTGACCCCAAATGGCGTGGTAGTTGAACCCACTTCATCACTCTGTGTTGCAAGCCTGAAGTCCATCTGTCAACACACCAATAGGCATGCCCAGGACCTAAGAGGAGCCCCAGCGTGCCTGCACATTTTAGCAGGAAGATTTCCCCAGACAAGGTTAAAATCTGGAATGGGCATCCATTCCATTGGGTTGTTCAAAAGAATTTAGCATGCAATTCACAATTGATTGCAGAGTTACTGGGAGAAAGCTCGAGTATAGGACTCAAGACATATGCTCACGTGCGCGCACACACACACACACACCTCATCGGTCCCCTAGGCTCCAGGGGAAGTTACAGTCAGAAGTGGCTATTACACTTGAGGAAACGGAAAAGCAATGACTTAAACAGCCCATTTTTAAACTTTGTTTCTAATATAAAAATGGAAATTGCTATCTTTCAGCATAGATCGGGTAACAGATTGCTATGCAGTCACCTCCTTGGCCAGACAGGTTTCTATGTTATAAGTATGTCCAAGCTAAAGATATCTGTCCAAACCATCTGCTCAAAAATGAATTAGCTCCAAACAACTCAATCAATCTCGGAGGCAAATAATTGTAAAGCTCCACTTTATGGCATAATGCAGAAATATTGGCACATTATTGATTCACCCAAATTAGGAATGTTTTCCCAAGTTCAACTCCTATATAGAGAGAAAACTATAGAGACTGGAGAACTCAAATTGATATTTCGAAAACAGTTCATATTACAGAAGTAGTAGTGCTGGAGGTCTTAAAATACAAAAAGATGGATAAATCTCTGGGATATGATCTAGTGTATCCCAGGATATTGCGGGAAGTTAGGGAGGAAATTGCAGGGCCCCTTGCAGAAATATTTTTGTCATCGATAACTACAGGTATTTCTGCTATAACTAGTGTTTCATTAACGCAAATTGCCTGTGAAGTGATTGATGAATAGTGGATGTTGTTCGGATAACGTGAACTTTCCGCTGTACAGGTATAGCGATTTCCCTGAAATGAGATTTTCTATGGTGATTTTCTACAGCGCAAGGTCACACAAGAACGCAACTAGAACATAAAACATTACAGCGCAGTACAGGGCTTTCGGCCCTCGATGTTGCACCGACCTGTGAAACCAACCTGAAGCCCATCTAAACTACACTATTCCATTATCATCCATATATGTTTATCCAATGACCATTTAAATGCCCTTAAAAGTTGGCGAGTCTACTACTGTTGCAGGCAGGGCATTCCACACTCGTACTACTCTGACTAAAGAAAGTAAACTATCACATTATAGGAGAACTACCTGTACAGATGAAGTGCTGCATAACTGGAGAGTGACTAATGTTGTGCCTTTAAGGAATGATGCAAGGAGAAGCCAGAGAACTACAGATCAGACTTCAGTGGTGGGTAAGCTGTTGGAGGGAATTCTGATAATTAGCATTTATGTGCATTTGGAGAGGCAAGGAATGATTAGGAATAGTCAGCATGGTTTTATGAGGGAAATCCTGTCTCAAACTTGATCGAGTATTTTGAGGAAACAACAAAAAAAAAAGTGATGCGGTCAGAGCAGGAGACATTGTTTAATTGGACTTTAGTAAAGCCTTTGACAACTACATGGTCGGCTAATTAGAAAAGTTTGACCAATAGGATTCATGGTGAACGTGCAAATTGGATACAATATTGGCTTAATAGCAGCAGGCAGAGGGTGGAGATGGAGGGTTGTTTTTCAGATTGGAGGCCTGTGACCAGTGGTGTTCCACAGGGATCAGTGCTGGATCCACTTTTGTCTGTCATTTTATACACATGATTTAGATGAGATTATAGAAGGCATGGTTACTAAGTTTGCAGATGACACCAAAATTGAAAGTGTAGTGAATAGTGAGGAAGGTTATCTATGGTTACCAAGAGATCTGGATCAATTGGGTCAATGAGTTAAGGAGTGGTAGATGGAGTTTAATTTGGATAAACTTGTGATCAAAACAAACAAAGGCAGGACTTATACAATTAATGGTAGGGCCCTGGATGATATTGTATATCAGAGATCTAAGGGGTGCAGGTATATAATTCTTTGAAGTTTGCATCACATGTAGACAGGGTGGTGTTGGATAAGGCTGAAGATAACAGGAACTGATAAGAGGCTTGATAATGGACTGTTACGTGAACAAAATTATGCCGAGTTATGCTGGTCTGCCATGAGTTAAAACTGCAGGAAATCAGCAACTGCTGTCTCTACCAGACAAGGCATACATTTGGACAAATGTTCAGGATTGCTCACATGCATGGATAAGACCAAGTAACACAGACACTTGTGAATAAAGAGCGTGAAGAAATCCCTTTGTTCAGCAGCACTTTGAAGATTCAACGCTGCAAGAAGTACCCTATGTCAGGAGACATGGTGAAGACATCAAGCAGAGTTTCAGCCTGGCTAGCCACCAACTCTCCTGGGTCATAATGTTTGGGTTTAGTTACAGAAATCAGGGTAGTGACAGACAGCAATTAAGATAGCTCTAGTCATAAAAAGTGTGTGTGTGTGTGTGTGTGTGTGTGTGTG